TTGTGATACGATGCTCATCAAATTTTGCCTCCAATGCCTTCTTTGATTTGTTTTCAGTTCTCCCAGAATCCTCATTTGAAGAAAGAACTTTTTAAAACTGAAGGCAAAACTTTGGTCGAAGCCAGCCCAGTTGACAGAATATGGGGGATTGGACTCGCTGAAAATAATCCCAAATCCAGGATTAAAAGAGAGTGGAGAGGAAAGAACCTACTTGGGTACATTCTTACTGGTGTAAGAGAAGAACTTGCTGATTTAGAGGCTAAATCTCAAAGTTTAGAATACATGAAAGGTGACAGCAAATCAGCTACTGAGGATGATGGATCTCCCATTACCAGAGAACTTGCATCATCTTTCACTGAAGAAGGCGAAGCAATGGTTCCGAAAACGGTATCACCTGTCACAGACTCACCCATGGGGAAACATGAGATTGAGAAGGGAACTGAAGTTGAGAATAAAATGAAGGTATTCAAGTCAGAGAAATCAAGTGAAGAGATGGAAAAAGATGGTGAAACTACAGTTGCCAGAAAAACAACATCAATTGTCACTGATTCCACCACAACTAATCATGTTACGTCTGAAAATGAGAGAACTGAAGATCTGGAAGAGGTTAATGCTAAGAATAAAATGAAGGAAATCAAGTGAAGAGATGAACATAGAAACATAGTGTGGACATGAATGAAGATATTAATGGACATTGGTAAAGATGAGATACACGTTTTTAGTTTAAAAAATAATTCAGTCATTTTTAACAGAACTTTTAAAAAAAAAAAGGTTCATTAGTGAACCTATACACACTGTAGATGTTGGGAATGCATCAATTATTCACTGGTTATTAATTTTGTAATTTTTGATGATTTGTAAAGACCGCCAAATTAAATCCACATGAACATATAACAAAGGAACTCAATCTTTCCCTGCCAAGTGCGTGAACTTAAAGCCCAGTGAAGATGCTCAAAACATTGAATGGTGAAATTAAGTGGCAGTGAAATTTAATGGTTTTAAGGTACATGTGTTTATGTAAATGACCGATGTTTCTATGGTCAATCATTTTAATGATTTAGTATACAACAAATACTATTATTTTATATGCACTTCTATCGGAGATGTACTTCTAATAGAATACAGTACATAGTTTGCAAGAAATTTATGGGAATTTGAGGATTTCAAAACCACTTTGTGTCAGCAAATCAGTAAATATAACATTAGCTGTCGGTTTTGATCAGTAGCAGTAGTTTCAAATGTTTAATTATTCCAACTTGCCTTTGATTATGCCATTCTACTTAAACAAAAGGTGTTAGACAGCCATGGATTTTTACTGCTAGTAAATATTATTCAGGTGAATTTGGGGTTGTTTCTCCTTACAGGCATTTTGAAGCATTTCCAGGAGTCAAATTATACCTTCAACTTGAAACCCACTTGCAATTGTTGTAGTTTTGTTTCCTTGTATTTATGCTGTTATATTTGAAGCAGGTGACTCGCCTTATGATTGTGAACATGTGTGCACTCGGGGGCCCATACAGCAAGGCACTTTTCCATGAAATTGGGATTAACCCAGAAATACTCCTCCAATTAGTTTCACTTGCAATGCTTTATCATTGAAAAATCACAATAGTATGACAACTTGGGTTAATTTAATGGGAGAATACCTCCCAATCCTTTCGTACATCCAAACAATCAGTCTTCCTCAAAACAAAGTTGTTAATGTTATACACAGTGATATATGACAACTATGGTAGTTTATATATTTATTGCTATGGCAATTGCAATCTTGTTATAAACCATACCAAGTAGCAATGCAAAGCAATTGACCTGGTAGATTTCAAGAAGCATCTTTTACCAAAATATTCGCTCAAAATTTTCACAAAATAAACAAATCCAAAAGATGTTCACCCTCCATACCAATTAACATTAAGAGATTGAGCTGGTAGATTTCAAAAAGAAGTTGAAATGGTATTTTTTTTTACCAAAAACCTGTGTATGTTGAAATATTTTCATCGGTAATCTTAAAACTAAAGTAGATTTTGCTCTTTTAAATTCTCATAAATTACACTTTTGTGGTTGTAAAAATTGTCAGAAAAGTGCCTTGCTCCCAAGAATATTTATAAAATAAAACAAGAAATAAAGACAATACAGTGACATCATGTATGCGTAGTAATTTTAACATCGCTCTAAACAGTATATATACAAAGAATGTGTCACAACTAAAATAATACATATACTGTATTTTGCAGTCATCTCTTATTTGTCTAAAAGTTAGTATGCAAAATTTTTAGCTTTCGTTACATAGATAAATAAAACCTTTGACACATTCCAAAATATATCCCAACTGTATAATATAAGACAACAAAAATTTATGTTTAAAGTTGTACATTGAAAGAGATCATTCTTGTATTGAAGCTTGGAAGTATGTGACATATATAAAATTTCACGATTCATGTTTGAGTTATACTACTATAGACTGCAAATATGTGATATGTAATTTTATTACATGTATATGAATTCACAAAGGTTTAAACAATAAAACTGAAAGATTGACAATATTCATGCACATCTTGCATAATAATCCAAGACTAAAGTTAGAAATCATCTTGTCCATGGCAGTTTTGTTTTGAGCTATACATTTGTTTTGGTGCAGTTGTATTCATTGAACAAGTAATAATGCTCATCAGGACATTAAACAAGGCTGCTACATATTGATATAATTGAAAACCATATTTGACACTAGAAACCGTCAAAAAGTTGATTAACTACTGATAGCAATGTGCTCATCTTGGTTACATACTATCAACTTGTAATGCCATTATAGAATTCTATGTTTAATATTGTTCAGCAGTGAATTGTAGATTTTTTTTCTCTCCACAATTTTAATGCAAGTACTTCCATATACCAATGAGTAGATACCATCATACCCTGTTTTATGTAATGTAAATTGTCTGTTTTGTTTGTATAATAGTACCGGGGGTTATTCAAAACTGAAACCATGCTATTGGCCCAGCACAAAGAATCTTACTAGATTGTGCAGAATGTAAAAATAAAATTTGATTTTACCAGTGTGAAAACAAATCACCTGCTCTAATGAATTCAGTAAAATTTATCGTCTTTCCCGTTTAAACAGATCAATATGGAAAAAAAATCATAACAATTTTAGAAATAATCTTTAATATCGAGAACCAGTATACACATTTTGGACAGCACCCCCAGGTTGAAAACAAATCTATTTTTCATGTTAGTTCTTCCACAAAAATATTTTAAAATAAACTTGGACAAGGCAGTAAGTGGTAGATGCATTCAATGTGCTTTTACTACATGTATCAACGTGTGTAAATGTAAATATCTGCCAAACAATGCAATGTACGCTATTTGATAGCATGGAACTAAAAATAGGAGAAGACTTTGATCTATGAAGTTTTCTTTTTTACTCCATATTGGATGGCATTGTTCCTACAAAATGAGGACACCAGGTTATGGCAGTCATTAGTTTTTGGAACCTGAACAAGTGGGACTATATCTACAGCTCACTTCCTCTGATGGACATGGACATGAAATAAGTAAATGCAGTGCAAACATGTGTCACAGTGCTTGCTTGAAAGTTGCAGGTATCATGGGAAACACAAACTTAATGCAGCAATCAGATGCTCACAATATACATGTAATATTTCACAAAACTGATGATTACACACGAGTCTACAATTTGAAGGAGAATCATGAGCTTTTGTAAATTAGAAGCAAAGTAACTGGTAATACGGAGCCAAATTAATATTGTGGCTTGCAATATTCGTTAGATACCCCTTTCCTGGAGAAAGTCTTTTACCTCACTGATAACGTGAAGATCATATACATGTAACAATATTATTTCTAATCTGTATGCCTATAAGCATATGGATAGGTCATGTGACCACGCATAATTTTCATGCTGTCTCTGTGGACTGCCTGTACAAATTGGCAAACACAGTTAATGACCCATTGATAGAATAAAGTAATGTAGGTTTCCAGCAAGCCTCAAATCTGGATTTCATCCCATATACATTTGTATCCTCTTTAGAATATTTACATACAGTGTTTGAAGAAAACAGTAGTTCTGTGTTTGCATGTTACTAATTACAAACACATCTATAAGAATAAACTATTTTCTTTTCACTGTTGATATGTATGAAATTGAATGTAAAAACAAGACAAACAAAGGTCATAGTGTTGTAGTGGTGTCTAAACATCTCATAGAATTTGACAAAGTATCTTTTTGATATTTAAATGTGATATTTTGTACACAGATTTGATAATGGTGAATTTTGATCTCAATGCCACATTCTCATCTAAAAGATCAACATTTTAATATTGGGCTATAAACAAAATTTTCAAGTTCAAATCAATCTATTTTTGCAGCAGACGTATGATCTGTGCCTTTTTACTCAATATGCAAGCTCAACAGAAATCACCGATTGGAAACTGAGTCGTTTCAACATATTTTTCAACGTAAAACAGTATTTTTTTTCACTAAATTCAACATGATCCAGGGAATGAAACTAACATTAATGTTTCATTCCACCAAAGTAAAGCCCTATCCTGGAAAAATCAGATTACGGTACTGCAGTAAAAATACTGGGAAAACTGATACATGTCCCAAAATGACCACTGAAAGAAACTGTGTAGAGCTCACCTAGATGGCATATTGTTATTTTCTCTACATTAATGACATTTACAATCAAGTAAATACACCTTGTGCTTGTCTTGTTTTTGTACTCAATCTTACTGAGGTAATGGCTTGAAAATTATGACTTTTTGTACAATCGAGTGCTCTGACTGAATCACACATTGTAATTGTATACATCATGCAATCCAATTATAAATGCATTCTAATATCTGTGTGGTTATCGTATAATATCTCAAAATGTATATAAATTAGCAAAGAAATAGCAATATTACCTGGGTATAAGTCTACTACTAAATAATGCAAAAACAATAAAGTGTAAATACATAATGGAATTTAACATAGAGCAAATGATTAATAACAAAATTTCTAAGACCAGAAAGGCACCCTCTATGTATGCACCATATATTGTATAGTCAGATAAGTACAGGATATAAAGTACTTATTAGAAGATCAGGTTTTCATTTTGTACTTGTCTTGTCACCATAGAAAGGAATAGTCACATGTGCAGGATTCTTAAAGATGGCTTGTTGGTAATACTGAAGTTCCTTGATACTTTCCCTAATGTCATCAATAGCTCGGTGTTCAGCCCTCTTTATTGGTGATTTAGCGTATACATCAGGATACCATCGCCTGTACAGAAATACACATACCAGGTAATACAGTAAACATGAAATATGTCAATACTGTTTAATAACACTAGATTATTCATTTATTAACTGCACTTATTTCACTGGTACCGAACAACCATTTATTTCCACTGGTGTTTAATTTTACTACTGGTATTTTGACACTGAGCAAAATCACTGGGTTTTAAGTTCACAAACTTGGTAGAGTTCTATTGCTAGTAATTTTTACGTATTGGCAAAAATAGCAAAATTAAAAACCATCAAATAATTAAATATAATCTAGTGATCTACTAAGCCAGACAAATCAACTGATAAGCTACATGTAAATTTAACAGGGGGACATCAGGAAAACAATGCCATAAGTTTTTGTTATACTTAAGTAAGAGGTTAAACACTGAATGTATGGCAAATTACAACCAAAGGGGGTACCTTATAATCTCTAATTAAGGATTAATTTTTTGAACATTTCAATCTTTACTGATGCCTAGATTAGGATTTCTGTAGTCATCAACACCTATTCAAGAGTACTTTGTTTATTGTGGCCAAGCGTGAATGGGTAAACTTTGTTTCAACAGTGAGACGTTATCACCGTTCAGTTTATCTTTCAAAAACAACTACTGTGGAATACTTTATTTTCGCTGGAATTAATTTTCGCTGAAAAGGCTTTTTGGGCGTTTTGTATGGAATTTATTTTCACTGATTTTTGATGAGTGTCATGTGAAATATAGGAAAAAAGTATATTCGGTGGATTTTATTTTCATGGAATCATCCCTTCAGCGAAAATAGCAAAAATAAATTCCAAGCGAAAATAAAGTATTCTAAAGTAATTTCTTGATTTAATAGAAAGAAAATCATGTCATTTTCAACCTTTGTGTATGGAAAAAACATGGCAGATGGCTTTCACGCCTAAAATAGAGTGATGCCTATTAAAGAGATTATACGATAGTTAAGTCAACACATTTGCAAGTTTTACCAATAGCACAACTTATCAGAATGAAAAATAATTTTAAGGCATCAAGTCAAATTACCTTCCAGATATCAAAAACATCTAACAGGGAGAAAATGATTAACCATAGGCCATGATCTCCAAAAGATCACACATCCTGCTACTTTCTGATGAGGTGGGCAGTTTAATTTCCGGCGGTACTAACAATATATATTCTCATATTCCCTTCCCTTCACCAAATGCAAGAATCTGCTGAAATTTGAAAACAGTTAACATGACATTATCATTGCTGTTATATGTCATCAATGCCCCAAAAAGTGCCAGGATGTGTGACTTATGCGTCTTGTGAAAGAGCTATTGCTGTAGACCATGGAAGGTACTAACGTAAGGAGCCACGACGCCAATCAAGTGGCCACTTAAGCTTCTTAACAGGCTTATTTTCTTTTGTTTCAACCCAAATTAATCCTGATAAGGACATTGTCTAGCTCATCTTTGATGTCGCTGATAGTTTGCGATTGTTTACACAAGTAACCAGTTAGCGGAGTATGATACAACCCCGCCATTTTTTTAATGTGACTATAAAATATATGCGCATTTTGAAACTACGGTCATTACACATGCGCACTGGGTTTGTTTAGGTGTGAAAGGTCAAAATACATATTTCTCAAACGGAAATTCAACAGATCAACGTTTGACTTCACAAATTTCACATGTTTTAATTATTAGCAACTGTAACTAGAACAAGATTTCGAGTGCCTACTGCAACAATTCCTAAGGACTCCTAAAAAATATTATCACAGAGAAAGTGTCAAGGCATACTCTTCTTTCGATACTATCTTTTATGTTGGTGTTCGCCGATGTT